ATATTTAAGTAAATTTTCCTTTTTCATTTTCTAAGTTGATAGATAACCTTCTCTGCACCTATTTCATGCAATTATTAATTAAAAATTTAATTATCTAATAAAAATTTCAATTCGTGTTAAAACAAAAAGAATCTTGCAAATAACACATTGCATATTTTTATATTTTCTTAAAAGAATATAAAAGTTTAATTGTAATCAGGTAAATTTGCATATGAAATTCGAAAACGTTTAACTATCATCAAATTATTGTCAATAAAAAAAAAATTTTGCTGACTTACCTGACACAAAACCTTTATCTATTTATTTATTTAAATTACTATGAAAAGGCAAAAACATGCCAATCATTTACTTCCAAAAACGCAAAAAGCACTGTCAAAACAAAACAGTAAACTTCTTGTCCTTTCGTATTTTTTTTTAATTGTATTCCAATGCCAAGTGATAATCTCTTTTGACAACCTTGATGGAGATACGCAAACAACAAGTTCGGTATTAGGTAAGAGAATGTGTCGCCAAAGGCAATTTTTAGTAATGACTTGAACAATTTTAACAACCTTTTCGTAGTCAATCGTAAGATCAATAGTAAACACACACAAGTGTGTCTCGAATTTTTAAATCCTCACACGCTGCACTTCCTCTATTATTTTAAAAAGCAAAAATGGAACAGAAATTATATTATTATAATGTATGTATAATATAAACGCGTCGCGTTGATGTCCTAAATATGTTTCATAGATCATCGACGATCACATAAAACTAATTCTTTTTAATCCTCGGGGAAAGTATTTTTTTTTTTAGATAAAGCGTACCCTATGCTCTTTTCTGTACCCCGAATAATGTGTGTATAAAATTTCATAATCGGTTTTACCCACGGCTTCGCACGCGTTGATGTTCTAAATAGATGTAGAAGATCATCTTCGACCACACAAAACTAATTTTTCTATCCCTTAAGAACAGCATTTCGTATTCTGGATAAAGGGTACCCTATGTCCTTTTTTGTACCCCTGATAATGTGTGTACAAAATTTCATGATAGGTTTTACCCACGGCTTCGCTCGTTTTAATACCCTAAATACGTTCTAAATATCATCGACGACCATAAAAACTAATTTTTCTAGATAAAACGTACCCTATGTCCTTTTCTGTAACCCTGACAATGTGTGTACAAAATTTCATGATGATCGGTAGAGTAGTTAAAGCATGAAAGCGTAGCAAACAAAGAAACTCACCTTCGCATTTACAATATCAGTTAGGATATTATTCAAATTCAAGCAAATGAAGAGCTTCATTTCAAATATATCTCGCACTTAGCCACCTATACTTATGTCCGAAGGTTATGGCTCAAAATAAAATTGCATAATTTATTTAATTATAAAAATTTTTAAAATCATTATACTGAACAACGTGTTCGATAAGCAAGTCAGTTTATTATTTTATTTATTAAAAAACATAAAATGCCTTTTAAAGAAAATGTTTATACTTGTTCCCTGGAGTCGTTCCCTTTGGAGCTACTCTTGACATCTGGTCGTGATTCCAATGTCCAATCTAAACTGACCATCAGTGTCTTTTTCATTTGTTTACTTACTTTCCATTTCCATCTGAGATGCTTTTAAAACATTAGCTGGCATAACTTGTTCATTTGTCTTCGAGTGGGGCATCAGGAGAGAAAGAGAAGAGAGACAGGTGTGACCGTGATCCAGAAAAGAATAGACTATAACGGGCTGCTTTTTAATACTTATATGAAATTTCTTCAAACTTTCAATATTACAAGGTAATTGTGTGTTTATTTCTTAGTAGCCTGTTCATAATTCGTACAAACCAGTCGGTTTTAAGACGCTTTCGGGGGCGGTTTGCTCGGAATTTCTTGCCAGTCCGCGTCGCGACATTGTTGCTTTTTATTGTGCTTTAAAGGAACCTTAATTTTTTAGTAAGTTCTTATCGTTATTAATAAATTCTAGTTAAAAGACTTCAATAGTTTAATGCCAAAGCTACAAACAGACAATTATTCTCAATTTTTATTTTTTTTATGGGTACTTAACCAACGTACCCATAAATTTTGCTTTTACGGTTCAGTATGAGCGGAATTGTGATATTAAATTCACTTATTACCTCTAAAATTAATTTGTTATTATATAACGCAAATACTTTAAATGCATTTTAACCACGAAATAAGATGGTTAATTAGAAGGTAATCAATCATAAACTGCAGTTAATTTAAACTTTAATTAAAAAGTTATGTTTAATTAAAATCGTGATAAAAATACTTTTATGTTTATGTTTAGAAGGTATTATAATATTATTACTTGTTTATTTGTCTTGAACTTCAGTATTCTTATAGAAATGTTAGATTTATTACGTTATAGTAACACATGTAGGTGCAATATTTTTCTGGTAGTTTCTAGTAGCTGCTTACAAAATTTTCCATTTTAAATAAAACACGTTTCATCATTTAATTTAATTTTCTTCTTTTAATTTCATTAGCACTCCAATACATGTTAACTTACATATATGTGAATAAATAAAAAAAGCTTAAAAGCAGTTACAAGTACAAGGAAAATAATTAGGAGTTGTGAATTGTTACTTGACCTTTTTATATTTTCCGTCCACATCTATTTTATAACTCATCTTTTCTACTTTGTAAATTTCGTCAGCAGTGGCGTATCTAGGGGGCTAAAGCTCCTTCTCCTCCAAATACATCTGAATAAAGAGAAACTTAACTTAAAAACTCACATACTTTATTTTAAGTAATAAAAATTTACGCTGTTTCGTCACAGAAGAACTTCCTAAATTGTTGTACGATTTCTATTCAACCTAAAAAGAAAGTGAACATAGTAACAAAAAAATGAATGTTTTAGGTACACGAAAAACATAACTTCAAGTGCTAACAACTTAAACACATAGACTGCAACAAAGCGGTCATTATCAGGGATGTTTCAACCCTATTTTCTGTTACTATATGAATCTTTTACATGTGTGATGAGAATAAATTGTGGAACTATGGAATAAATTATATTTTTTGACTGATTAATGTACTTCTAACTCATGTTTAATATAAGTAAGGGAATTTCATCTAATTTGAATTAATACGTATATAAATATTAGAAGAAGACATTCTGCCCAAAAATTTGAAACCTGTTTTTCAACACAAAATTAGGTAGATTAACATAAAATGTATAGGAATATCACTAGCTGAAACATTAAGAATCCCAAAATTCCACATAAAAACGTTTAGATATTTCAACACAGTTTCGACACCCAAGGTGTTATCGTCAGTTGTAACCATAAAATATACTTAAAAATGCTATAGACTATTAAAACAGGATAAATATTTACTGTTAATTGTAGCCACATATACCAATTAAAGGTAATTAACTAAGTAATTTTAATTTAATAAGTACAAAGTACAAATGATTTTGTTCTGCCTTTTAAGTATTACATTAGCAAATATGCTGTTTTTCTTTTTCTTTTTCATAGGTAGATATTATGTTAATAATAGCATAGGTCAGGATTTTTAAAATATATTTTCTTATTAACTTGTATTATTCAAGGTTTCTTCTTTTACTGGAATATAAATAATGTGCATGCATATACATATATTTATAGACACTGCTGATGGATAAACTTGACCTTCTGTATTTTAATAAAGAAGTCTAGAAATTTTTCTGAAATAAATGAGTACGTTGAATTTAAAAATGTTTTGTCAAGTTCAGTAAATCACAACGTTCTGAAGGCACAATTAAATTACCTGCACAGTTTTTTCTTATGTTGAAAATTCCCAAAAGTCGAAAAAACTCATGAATTTTATGATAGATGACCGTAGATTTTCCATTCCAACAAATGAAATTAAAACATTTATATTTTACTTTAAATGCTTCTATTTCGTTGAATATGAATCTATGTGAAACATTTCTTGTTTCTAATTTTCTTAGTAGGTAAATGTTAAGGTATTTAATGCAGTAATTGCATAACAGAAATGCGCATATTTCAATTAAAACAATAAAGTGTAAAATGTGTTAACAAAATTTTTAAATATTTCATATATAAACATTGAAAGAGAAAGCCAATATAGTCTAGAAAAATAAGTTTTGTGTTGAAATAATTGTCCTTCTCTTAGTATGGTGTTACGTTAATGCATGTATAAAACCTTCTTTTATTACTTATTCGTATGCTTTCTAAATAACCGAACTACATTTCACTTCCCATTCTGTCTTTCTACCTTCTTTTTTTCTTTCGGTTCCTGTCATCATCAATAAAAATGGAGCCACTCCTTAAGATAACTGATAAGGCATCAGTATCGATTTTATTTGAATGTACAGGAAGTTTGTACCACTTAATGCTTCAATTGCGTTAGAACGACTTTTCTAATTATTTATTGAGTAATACCTCCAAAGCTACAACAAGTCCAGCTTTACATATGAGCCTAAAGAACATTCCTTAAATATATTCGGGATGAGGTATAATATAGCATTGTTATGATATTTTACACTTTAAAATAACAATAACAAGGAATATCAATAATAATCATCAAAAACTTATCAGAAAGAAGCGTTTAAAAGCCCATCGAAATGGGTTCAACTGTTTTGAAGAATATCCCGTAGATAGACAGATAGACAATTTCTTTTTAAGGGTAGATACTTTGTCAGTTATTGATGAGTATTAAGCATCCAAATAAAAAATGCAGTTATTTTTAAAATTACAAACAAATGCTTCAATATGTAAATAATGATTACAAAGTGGTAAATCGAGTTGGAGTTTCTTCATTCCAATTGGTTGTTTTAACGAATGTGTTAATCACAAAAATAAACCTTTAATTTGCTATAACGTATTATATATGCAGTAAAGCGCCTAACAATTTTAAAAGCAAATAGCGCTGCTGCTACTAAAATTAACTTAATTGCCAAACTAATTAAAACCAATTTTTGACGATTGACGAAATAAAATGTGGACATGTCGCAACAGCTTTTACGTAGTTAATTGGTTTGTATCTTGAAAGAACACGAAATTATATGTTAGTTGATGATTTTGTCAATTAAATTTTGATTTGTGTTCCCAAGCAATTATTTCTAGTTAAAAAACATAAAGCGTATGTACAAATGCATCGTTGGTGGTAATTTGTAAGATTGTAAGAACATTGCATTTAATGCGTTAAAAGTGAAAACCCCTTTCTCTGATGAAACGAATGTTTGGAATTTTTTGTGTTCATTATTCAAGAACAGTTCAAGCCAATGTAGGAAAGATCAGGTCATGCAGCGAAAAGATTTGCGAGACTTTGTTATTAAATTACTTTTCTTACACAGTAATAATGCAAATGTGTTCTTCAAGTTGATCTAAGAGCGAAGTTTACTTTTAGCGTTGATTAATAATAAATTAATTAATTACATTAATATAAATAAGGTACAATTTTATTTAGGCTTGCAATCGCTGGAGATACATTTTTATTTATTTTTTTCTTAAACTATAAATAAATGACAAAAAAGGCCATAAAATATTTCAAAGTGCAGGATTTCTACCTCCCTTTTTAAGGAAGAACTATTAAATAACTTACCTACTAATATATGTATGTATATGTTTCTAATGTTAAAGTTAATTAAAAAACAAACCTGTTTGTACTTCTTGCAAAATTACTCAATAATGAAATAATTATCTTTGTCAATTTAATTACTGATAATTGTGTAATTTGTCCATGATTTTTTATTTTTTTACAAGTTGACGTCAAAGAAATTTTTTGAAAATTAAATATGCGTATGCCTGGACTAACTTTTATTGATAGAGTCACAAGGTTAGTGTCGTTGGTTTGTAAAAAACACTTTTTCCCTTCTTCCTATCCTTGAATCTTCAATAATAATTATAATAATTGACTTATCAACATTTCATATAATAGAAACTTTTTTTGCATTGATAATGTGGTAGAATGATTACATAAACGTTAGTTTAATATGAATGTAACAATAATTTGTCAATTTTTCTTTCTTTTAGAATTAAATAGACAAACTTGATCGAAATACATTAAAGAAGCCAATACAAAAACATATCAAAAGTTTTTAACGAAAAGCAATTTTCGGACTGTATTAATTTTAGAAATGATTAGGTCATTTAATGTTAATAGATTCATAAAAGTAGTCTTGAAATTAATTCACAATCAATATAATTTTATGGTGCACTTGGAATGCAGATAATATAAGTAGCATTAACGCTGGATATCCTTAGGCAAAAATTCATTTATTAAATATATAAGATTTAGTAGTTTCGTTCTCTGCTAATTATTAGTGTATGTATAGAAACCATAACCATCTGCATTTATGTTTATATACTTATAGTAACAATAATTATATTTATTTATTTATCTACACCAGATAGATAACAACAATTGCAGTATGCAAAACTGATATTATTACACCTGGTTGAAAGTTAAGAGTACCTCTTCATGATACTTTAAAATTAGTTGACTGCAAGTAAAAGTTATGAAAACATTTTTTTGAAGTTCAGACTTTATTTATATGTATACTTACATGTACTTAATAAATGGTATTTATGGTACATTGCCTTGAATCATAAGGAATTAATTTACTTAACATCAACCTTCAAGGAATTATAAATATAAATATATAGGTATTAGTAATTGCTGTGATTAGTTATTAGCCAAATTTAGACAAAAAAAAACAAATTTTGATAAATAGTCGATTTCTGTGTCATGCAAACATACAGACATGAAGATGTAAAATGATCAGTCTGCAAATATGCCCACAAGTAATGACTGGACAAATAAAATTTGAAAAATTCAATGAAACTTTGGCAAACCTTTTTGTTAAATTTGACTGTATACTACCACAGCTGAATTGTAGATTGTATTTATTTTTTTTTTTTAATATATTCCTTTAAGTCCGAGGAAGGTTCCTATCAAGACAAAAATTGGAAAAATTGCACAGGAAAACGTAAAAACCAAATGCAATATTGGGTTTGCAAAGATTGCATGGAACATTTTTGTTTTTCGTCAGATTTACTTGAAACTTTGTCTTAATGCTCTCTCATATAATTTGTGAAACATCTATCTCGGCATTTTAAAAAATTCAACCTCCAAAGGGGGGCGGGTAAAAAGAGGTTGCAATATTTATTTGGAACATATTTTATTTGTGATTGAATTTACTTGAAACTTGGTATTAATGCTCTTTGATATTATTATTCAAATAAAAAGAGGTTGCAACGTTCCCGTGGGGTATATTTTATTTGTAGTCGAATTTCCTAGAAGAAGGTTGTTAATCAAATATGTACGTGTTTTGGCAATTTTTAAAAATCAACCCTTAAGAATGAAATGTTGTTGCTACGTTTGTATTTGAAATCTCAGATTTTATATAAAATCAAAACTTTGGGAGTTAAAAGGTTTTGTGGGAAAACAATATTAATTTCTGCGAGCGAAGCCGCAGGGAAAAGCTAATTTCCAATAAAAATCAAAAGAAGCAATGCAAAACATCGTCACAAAACTATTCGCTATTTCTTCCAAAACTTCTTACGTATATAAAACTATTTGTAATGCTTAATTTAGGTTGCTGTGTGTTTGTTCTTAAAAAAACGCCCAAACACATGATGGAATGAAAATCGTTAGTTCTATCCGAAAATCGTCGAACCGTAGCATGATTTAAAAACCGTAACGCCTTTCGGTTTTATTCAGTGCATGATAACTTCATTTCTTATTAAGATCAGAGCCGATAACAAATTATAAGTGGCTGACATGTTACTTAATAACTTTTTTACAATAAAAAAATGATGCGTATGAGTAGCCAAATGCGTAAGTGTTCAAAAAGAAAGAGATATTGTTAATTAACCAATTTCATGTATGCTTGACGAAAACAGAACAAAAACTAAAGTGCAAGGTATTCCACACTGCTGAAATGTTAATATGGTCTCTTGTATAATCCCAAATTTTTCAAAACCAATAAAATCTTTAGAATGCCTACTTTGGTATTGCTAAAAAGTTCATGCAACCTTTAGAAGCGCTGTCATTTTTATAGTTTTAATTTCAACAATTCTTTTTTTAAAATGACTGATTGCCTAACGTTTCGACAACAGTTGTGGCTGATATCTTCAAAGATCTATGTGTATGTCATGTATGTATACAATGCTTTCATATATTAATTTAAAACCCTCTTCAAAAGTGTTGCAACCAATAAATTTAAGTAACAACCACGTAATTCACTAATAAGTTGGATGACTTCTAAACACTTACATATGTAATTAAGTAATTATATTCATCTCCTATTCTTGCCTTTATAATAGATACGTATGAGATGACGTTATACCTTGAAGGAATTTGTAATGTTGATTCTTCACTTGACTTGTTCGTCTGTATTAACATACCTTTTATTGAACGGGTTATTTAAATTTAATGAATTAACCTTGACTTAGATAACTGGATCCGTTTAAAGACAGTGGAAATTTCATTTACGGTGAAATGACAATAAATTTTGTATTAATCAATGACAACAGTGGAAAAATATCTGATAACGTAGTTAAAATTCAAATAATTTTGTTTTTGAAAAAGAAAATTTAACACTTAACCTTATACAGACCCGTCTTTCACCATTTTTAGTTACAACTTTTAACAGTAAACTTAACGGCATTTGAACTGATGCTGATTCGGACCTATAGATCGTGGTTTGTTGGAGTTGCTTCCTAACGTTTCGCTAACATGAGTAACGAACTTCTTCAGAGATTCTTCTATCTTCAATGTCGGATGTTCGCGGTGACATTCTTTTTCATTGATTTTCATATAAAAATACTTAAAAATTGAAAATAATTAATATTTAGGTTATAGTATTGTATATTTCAATTTAACTCGAAATGATATGTCAGACGACAAGATAAAACTAATTTTTCTATTCTTTGGGAATAAAAGGTACGCTATGTTCTTGTGTGTACCCCTCACAATATGTGTACAAAGTTGTATAATGATCGGTTAAGTAATTAAGGCGTTAAATCGTTACAAACAAACTTACATTTGGATTTATAATATTAAGTAGGATTTTTAAAATACATCCATTGTTATCATTAACAAACAGTAGGTACCTAAAAGATGTATTTCAAATGAGAAATTTTTCACAACTTTCTATTTGTTAACGTCAACCACCTACTTCTAAACATTAAAAATAAACAAATATTACGCGCTTTTTTTTCTAAAAATATCCCAAATTAATTGGTGATATTTTAATAATAGCTACCACCAAAAAATGAAACTTCTCAAATCAATTTAATTAATAACTATAATTACCGTATATAATTTCTACAAACTTCATATGTTAACCATTTAACGAAAATTTTCCAACACTTATTGCGATGGTGCCTATAATAAATAATTAAGTAGTTTTCACCTGTAAATTTCCATCGCGTTTCGTTCGTTATTTTCTACGCAACTTTAAGAAGAAAAATGGGACAAATCAGTTACCCAATTGAACTTTCAATGCTTATTAAAAAATTTAATTAAGTTAATAGTGAACGTGTTCATATAATATCACTAGATTTACTCGTTTTCTGAGTACTCGTCAATAAATTAATTGCGATTAAGACACAAATGTAGTTGTTACAAGATTACGTAAAAAAAATAGAAGAATAGTGATATGGCTGCTTCAATTTAACTCAATCACATTGTTAAATATGACAACGAAATTGCAATTATTGTAGTGAAATCACATACTCAAATTATTTATGTATGTACATCTAGGTAGTTACAGGGCTATTCATTAAAAAAAAAAGATAAATAACACCCTTTCACTTTTGGAATGTGATTTTCCTCATTAGGTTGAATTCAGGTTTAGAAAGTGATCCTTGAAGATTTAGTATAAGTATACAAAACAACCGAATTAAGAGCTGTTGCAGAAAAACTGGGTCAGAATAACAGAAACTGTTGACATACATACAGTAACAAAAGAATTATTTACCTTATTTTTATGCATACGAAAATGTACGTATGTAATTCTTTTTTATAAGAATAAAAAGTTGAAGTATCTTTCTAAAAATAAAATAAATCTCTTATGTAGATATTAATAAAAAGAAAAGTATCATTGAAACACGATTTAAATTTGAAATCGTTGAAGTTTTCTATATCTATTCATGAGTCAAACGAATACGTTTATTAAAATTTGTTATAAGTAATATTAATTGTAAAATTTCTACGTTAATTAATAAATTAATGGGGGGTTTCAAGAGTTCAATAGATAGATAGATAGATAGATAGATAAATAAATAAATAGACGGCCTTATTAAAAACATTATCGTTTTATATACACAATTTGCATACTATTCTGTTACTACAAATGTATTTTACAAACTAAATATTTTATAATTTAATATTTTTAGACCATCCGTTCCTTCCTTTTGAATTTCTATTTTTTTTTGTACCATTTTCAGTTATTCCACATCTCTTTGCTCTTTCTTCTTTTAAATAATATGGTTTTTCCTCCCTTTCTTTCCATATTTTCTTGTATTCCTGTGTTTCTCATTTATTTCTTCAGTTTCCATCTTTAGTACGTGATCGCTCATTCTCTTTCCATTAAAACTTTCTTCTTTTCTTTTTCCATCTTTCCCTTGTTATTTTCTTTTCTTCGGTTTGAATATTCGATATATGTATCATCCTTAACTTTTATACATTCTTTTAGTAACGCATTGTCTCCCAAATTTAACACTTTCAAGGTCTTTTTGAATATTTTAAGACCATTTTTTCTGTTTTTATTTCTTTTTGTGATAGGTATTTGGGTGCATTTCTATCTATTTTTAAAATCCACCTTATACATCTGTCTTGAATACTTTCAATTTCTTTTCTTTCTTCCAATCCCCATATTTCCGATTCGTACTCCAAGCTCTCTACCAAAGTCACCAATATAGACATTCATTTTTTCTAACTCTCTACAGTAACGACCAGTTTATTATATTATGCCAAGACAATAAACCATTGCGTTTCGGTCTTAACTTACTCCAGATAATAGTCTAAGCAAGACAGAAGTAATTGTCAATTTTTGTTATTATATTAAATTAGTGAAATGTCTCATTGTGTTGTATTTTTTCAATGTAAATTTTTTACTAATGAACCTGCACTACTTACGATTGGAAAATCGATGTACTGTTAAATAATACTGTAACTGTACAATTAAAAATTTATTGTACCCTAATCCATATTTCTGCAGATATTATTGGATTTTTAACTTTAATGACATATAATAGACGCATTTAAATAACGTTCTTTTCCTGCGGTATTTGTTTGAAATTCAATAAAAAATGTTAATAAAGGTTAGTTCCCAGAAAGAAAGAAAAATAAACGTTTCAATGAATAAATTAGCAGTAAATTATTTAATAATTTGTCTGTTTGTCTCATATGTAAAGATTAACACACTTTTTTTATCAATAAACATCTGTTCAACGGTTACCTAAATAAAAAATAAATCAAATGTTTTACTGTACATCAGGTATTATGTACATTAATTTGCATATTGTAGATATGATTATAAAAATATTTGAAATTCTTTGTAGGTGACGATGGCCGAAACTCTTCTTCTTCCCCCCGAGGAACGGGGTAATTGTTCAATTTCCAGATGGTACAAAGGAAAATCCGTTTTCATCACAGGAGCTACAGGCTTCATGGGCAAAGTCCTTATTGAGAAATTGCTCTATCAATGTCCTGAAATAAAAGAAATTTACATATTTTTAAGATCAAAAAGGGGACGGAGTCCTGAGCAAAGAATCGCCGATATGTTCAAACTTCCAGTAAGAGATGCTTCAACTTTTAATCATTTTAATTCGGAACATATTTTTACAATCCTTTTACTGTTGTTTATTAGATGTTTCAACGTCTTAAAAAGGTGGACCCAGATGCCATTAAAAAAATAAAATCAATCCATGGCGATATAATCCAAGAAAATTTAGGTCTGAGCACTGCTGAACAAAGTGTTTTAACCGAAAATGTATCAGTCATATTTCATTGTGCTGCTACATTAAAATTAGAGGCTCCACTTAAAGATGCTATCGAAATGAACACGGCTGGCACCGAAAAAATTTTGGAACTGGCCAAAAAAACGAAACACTTGAAGGCACTGGTACATCTGAGTACCGCATTTTGTTCTGCTGATTTACCGGAATTTAGAGAGAAGGTAAAGAGAGTAAATTTAGAGTTACTATTACCTGTTCTATTTAACTAATTCTATTGAAAATTTCAAGGTTTATCCTTGTCCTGACAATCCCAAGGATGTTATCCAAGTGGTTCGATGGATGAGAGACGATGCTCTCGTTAAAGCGACCCCTGCAATCATCCACCCCCATCCGAATACATACACTTACAGCAAAAGGCTTGCTGAAACCCTTGTAGCTTCCGAATATCCCAATTTACCAGTGGTTATTGTTAGACCTTCAATTGGTAAGTAAATATTAATATAATAATGGATTCATCTACTAACTTTTGAAATACTTCAATTAGCAACAAATAACAGTAACAATAACAACATGACAAAAATTTGTGATGAATACCATTAATGTCGTAATTGTTGTGTTTGCTTATTAATTTATTAATTTACGTAGTTACTCCGGCTGGCGTTGAACCTTTACCTGGATGGGTGGATACTTTAAACGGTCCCATGGGTCTTATGGTGGCTGCTGGAAAGGGTGTTATACGCTCAATGCATGTGAAAGGAGAAAATCGTGCCCAAGTTGTGCCCGTCGATCTCGCAATTAATGGAATAATTAGTGCCGCATGGAAAATTGGAACTATCCAAACTAAGTACACACTTAATAACATATAATAAAAATTCTGTTTATTATTGTATACTTTTTTGTTTGCAATAGACCTAAAGAAATTCCCGTGTACAACATGACACAGGATGCGGTGAAGAAAGTAACTTGGAAAGAAGTTTTGGATACAGGAAGACAAGTCGGACACGAATATCCCTTCGAGATGCAAATTTGGTATCCGGATGGAGACATCAGATCGTCCAAATTGATGCATCAAATCTGTTGTATTTTCTTGCACTGGATTCCGGCATATTTTATCGACTTTTTGCTCTTTGTATTCCGTCAGAAAAGATTGTTAGTCGATACATAAAATGCTCTTACTTTTTGTTAAGTATTTTTTTTCCAGTATGGTGAGACTTATGCACAAAATAAACGACGGTTTGGAATTGCTACAGTTCTTTACGACACGGGAATGGATTTTCGATAGTACAAATTTCTTAGCGTTAGCTGGCGAACGGACGCCGGAAGATAAGAAAGCATTTTTGATAGACTTTAATATTATGACCCCTGAAGAATATATGAAATTGAGTGTTCTTGGAACTAGGCAATACTGTATGAAGGAGGACTTGTCAACGATACCTAGATGCAGAAGAATCCAAAAAGTGTAAGTATACATATCAACGTGTCCTTAATATGGACAATTTTCATTATTGTTATTGTTACTAATTAACAAAATTGTTTAATGTACCTTGTTTTTCTACTTCCCTTTCAATTTTAAATATTTTGTCTTTGCATTAGTCATCCATCTCCTATAGTCTTCCGTCGACTTGGAATGTCTTATTTTTTCCATCCTTCTTTCCTCTTCTTTGCACTGAACGTATTGGGTCTTTCCTCATCAATTCTATTGCTTCTCACTCCCATCTCTCTCTCTATCCATTTCTAATCTGCACTCTTTTAGAATTTGGTTTTCAGTGTTATTATTTATTTTTCCTTACTATTTTAGCACTCTAAGTATTTTTCTGTAGTTTTGCCTTAGTCTCTTCCAAGAGAATGTACTTTGACGTTCTGGACGTTTGAAGTTCTGGATCCACCTCATGTATCTGCAGATTTTCCAGTTTTCCTGTGATTTAACATTCCCAAAAATACTTTTCACCAAAATATGAAACATCATCATTTTCCTTTTCCAGTCTCCTCTAAATTTCCTTTCTCCAATTTCCCATTCCCCATACTTGTGTCATGATTCTTGCTGACTTCTCTGTAATTTCTGTTAAGTGTGCTTCATTCCTGTTGTTTCTTTGCAAATCTGTTCCCCTACATATTTGAATTCTTTTACTTCTTTTCCCCATTTCCAACAACAAAATATTGTGTAATATTTATGGTGAATTTTACACCATGTTTTTCAGATTATATATAATAGACAGATTATTCGCATTATTCTTCTATATGGGATTAATATGGTTATTGTGTTCATTTTCTGATACTGCCAAATCGATATTTGATTCTGTTGGAAAGTATGCCAAAAATGTACCTGTTGTTGGATCCCTCGTACCAACTAGTTAAATTTCCAAAAGATAGATTGTTGTTATAAGTAAATCAAATGGTTGAAAAGTATGTGTATCATACTTAAACTCGTTAAATACTTTTATGTTGTATACGTTTTGGTTGTTTTGGATTTGGTAGGTCTGTTTTTATACTTTAATTTTTGATATTTTTTTAATTTTCATAATAAAATATGTGTAATAAACATGATTTTGAATAGTTTTTTATTTATTGGATTAGATACATTATACTTATTTAACAATTTAACACTCAAGGTAGGACATTAACATTATTATATTAGTAACAAAAGTACTCAGCTAATCAAATTATAGAAGTTTGAAATAAATATTAGAAATTAAATATGATTTTATTTAACAACGTGATATCAAATATACCTCCTATTATAATAATTAATATTTTATACGTTTTTCGTTGAGATATTCGAATGAAATACCAATATTCCAAAAATACTATTTAGCGTACACACTCGAGGTTAATAACCTTAGGTCGCAATTCATAAATTTCGTTCAAATATTTTCATTTAGAAAATTTATGAATGAATCCCCGCATCAATGATTCTGATTGGCTGACAGTAAGCACTGTAAGTAAAGCAACCAATAAAATTTGAAATGAATTTGAGTGTAGCTTCTCGACAATGAAAAAATGTAAACACAACTGTTTGCAACAGTTATTGTCTTATTTTGCAAATTACCCACAATGTGATAATAACTTGTAATTAAAAAGGTGTTATTTAACCTTTCACTACAGTGCATTATGTTTTAAAAGAGAAGTTATAGTTCCTCCAAACAAAAACGAGATAAAAATGTTTACAGTTTGGTCAGCGAAAATAAATTGGTTTGGTTATCTTAATTATACTACATTAAAAATTAACTTCCAAACAAATCAGTTTTATAGTCCAACTGTGTTTGTCGATTGATGATTTTATTGGTTTTTTGTTGAAAAGTTGTTTACCTATTACGAAATAATTTAATATAACAATGACGTTACAATGCTGTGGAAGTAATAACTTTTACTAATTATTGATTGTATTTAGAAGCAGCAGGGTGAGTGGATCTTCCTAATTTAAGTTTTTATTTTATTATAAAATACCTACAGTGCTTTTAGAAACACCTATGCAATATTTTTTATTAGAAAATCGAGGTTATGTTTAATATAAAATGTAATCTTATTGTAGATCTTAGTTACGTTAATACTGTGATGAATTTATATTTGTAATCTGCTGGAAAACGTAGTGTAAGCATGCCAAATTATAACTCCATGGGATCAAGAGAACCTATATGGACCCAAGTGGCTGATCCTGAAGATGGCTTAAGGGATATAGCTCAGGAAGAGGTAGGTGCAACATTCAGTTATGAGCATTATTTTAAATTAGAGTTTTTAGATTCAACAAAGTGAGAATATATGTGGAAGTAGGAAAAAGCACAATGGCATAAATACATTTACAGCAACAGTATTTATTGCCGGAGAAATGGCAGGAAGTGGTGTGTTGGCTCTACCAAGAGCTATAGTTGATGCAGGTGAAAAAAATATTACTAAATACAATATCCCTATTAGTATAAGGCATCTTCACATTCACTACTATTTAATTTATCTCAAATTTAATATACATTCGTATCAGTCATCTGACTGATAAGTTGTTTATAGGAATATTCCTTTTCCCTATTTGATAAAAATGTATGTCATATTAGTACATAAGTCCTATGATAAGTCATGGTCAATGTACTAATCATAAGATAATAATATAAGAAATATCATTTTGATGATGCAATTTTCATTATTATTTATTTATTTATAATAGACTGCTCTAAATGTTTGCAGAATGAGTATACTGTTACAAAAAGTTTATCTTTTCAGTATATTTCTTCTCTAAATGTCTTGGCTGTTGTATTATTGTACCAGAATATAAGCAATTCACATATGATTTATCACAAAAAGTAATGGTAATTGTTTTATGTGCATTTATGGAGTTTTGATTTCATTTTTGTCAAATAATATCTTCATTATTGATTAGTGTAATACTACAATCTCTAAATAGATCAAATTCTTAGCTAATAAAACTAAAAAGTAAATTATATCAGATTATCATAAAGAACAAGATATCAATGATTATCTTCAGATTTCTTTATTATAATTACTTTTACTCATTTTAATTCCTGAAGAGCATTTATTGTCCCTAAACGATCCACTTCCTCTGTTATGTAATAGACACAATATTTATGAGGTGGTCCTCAAATTGTAGGATGGATTGGTTTAATCCTGCTATTAGTTTTTTGCGGACTTGCCGCTTATGGAGGGACAAGACTAGGCGAATGTTGGGCTATTTTGGAGGAAAGGTTCCATGAGCATCGTGGACGCTCAAGAAATCCTTATGCAACTATTGCTCAAAGAGCTGTAGGCAAATGGGGAAGGTAAGTTTTTTAAAATTATTATTTTTTTTAATTTGTAGGTGTATGTAGTGCAAATCATAATACTATAAATTATCAATTTTCTCAAATTTATTTATATTATTTATATTTTCT